CTCATCTCAATGAATATTTGCTTGTTGCTGACATCTGAACAGGTATAAAAGTATAAGGAACTGTTTTGTCATTGAGCTAAGTATATTGTGTCTATGTTGCTTCCCTCCAAAAAGATCAGGATTTTTAAAAATGTGTTCAAACAATAAAACTGCTAATACAGAATGTTTATAAATAACACTATAGGAATAACAGAGAACCATATATGCCATCATATATATGAGTCATAGATATATATGTATATGAGAATACATATACAGTCACTGTAACTGAGCATTCAATTTAGCTCTCAGTTTAGGTACAAATAAAACTATAATGGTTTTATATAATTTTTGTTGTGTAATAAAAGAAAATATCAATTCCTCAGGATAATTAGTATTATTTTTTAGAAATGACTTTTAAAAGGAATTTATCACTTGGGACCTTATTCAATGAATATTGAACAAAACAATAGACAATACGGTTAAAGGTACTTTTGTAGTTAAATAGAGATTTAATAGTCATATAAAATGGTGAAAATTGAATTTAACTTGGGCTCTGTGCTCCCAAAGATTAGTGATGGTAAAAAACATCTCCTCCCACACTTTTGTGTTCCAAAAAGAGCTAACCTCAAAAGAACCACCCTTCTCCATATAACTTACTGTCCATGGACTCTCATGAGTTCAAAGATAACTCCCTTGTTTATCTGTCTGTATAAAACTCTAGGTCCCCTCTTTTTCTTTGAGGGCTTCCTCTTTAAAGGGCATTCTTCCTGTGCAATAAAGCTGAATAAAATCATCCTCTTACTCAGTCTTTCACATTATCTTGATGCTGCATAGATATTGGGGGGATAACATGAAAGTATTTTTTTCTTTTCAGGGTCTCAACCTTACTCACTTGGCTAACTTCTTTTTTTCCCTATTAAAGAAAGTTTAGAAAATAGGTCAGACAGCTAATTCCCATTACTTTTTTTTTAAGTTTGATTTTTATACATATATTTTGTGAGTCTTAAGGCTTTAAGCTTTCCCAAGTCTTGATGTTTTTTTTTTGTTTTGTTTTGTTTTGTTTTGTTTTGTTTTGTTTCAACGTTTATTTATTTTTGGGACAGAGAGAGACAGAGCATGAACGGGGGAGGGGCAGAGAGAGAGGGAGACACAGAATCGGAAACAGGCTCCAGGCTCTGAGCCATCAGCCCAGAGCCTGACGCGGGGCTCGAACTCACGGACCGCGAGATCGTGACCTGGTTGAAGTCGGACACTCAACCGACTGCGCCACCCAGGCGCCCCTTGATGTTTTTATCTGTACATACTTAGTGTTCTAAAACAGAGAGAATTGCAAAGTGATTTTTGTAAAGGTGAAAGGATAATGAGGTAAAATTGAAGAAAGGAAAAAGAAAAAGAGTAAAAAGATAGCTTCAGGTTTTTGTTCTCTACAGGTCTTTAGTCTTGACTTGTTTTGTTTTTTTTTTTTTTTTTTTTTCAAAATCTTCCATCTATGAGCTAAATATTTTGTGGTGGCCATTTCCATAGAAAAGAGTTCATTGTGACACTTCTATTTGCATATTCTGGCTTACTGTCTGTACTGCCTGTCCTTTTCTGGTGATAATGAACCAAGAAGTTCCACTTTTAACATTTAAAAATTTGGGTGTTGGCACTTTCTGTCCTTAGGTTTAACTTTCAATTCCCTTCCTTAGACGCTGTCCAACTTACATATTTCAAACACTTTTCTTTGCTTCAGAAAATAACAAAGATTTTCTTCACTCTATTTTCCTTCAAATCTGAAACTAACTGAGCTACTCTACTAAACAAAGGCACTATTCTATTAACATGAGAAACACTTCAACCTATAGTCCTTTCTGGAATTCTACTCAGGTGTCTTGATCAGGATCTCCTCAGACTCAATCCTGAGCAGTCTCCATGCTATCTCCCTATTCAGGCTCCTATCTAAGTACTAAATATTTGATAAATCATACATAAAATTGTACATAGCAACCATGTAAGCTAAGAGAATGTGACACTCATACAAGATGAACTATTCCACTTATTTACTGATACAGAAATTAAATTGTCACCAACACATAAAACTGGTTGGTATAGATGTCAGAACTTTTGTTTTTATGTCCTATATTTACTATTAATCATTAACACTCTTATTCTCTTAACTTGTTCCATGACAGCAGGTTTGTTTCTTATAATACTTGGTGAATTATATTTGCTGAGATCAATGGAGATATGGCCTCTGTTTCATCTTAACACAAAGTCATTATTTGGCATAGTAACTATAGTTATTGAAGTGATCCTTAAACAGCATTGAAACAAACAAATAATATACTATCTTTTGAAATATTGTTTCCATTCATAAAGTAGATCTCAAAAATAACATTCTCATATTGTTTAATTATATTATGAATGATTACGCAGAAAAAAAGAGGACACAAATTTTAGCAAATATTTCAAATCAAGCATTTACAACACTGCATGTAAATATTCTCATGAAAATTGCTATATTTCATATAAACTTTTCATTAAAATGCTAGAAGAAATGTGAAAATATTTCCTCCATTCTAACTGTAGGCATTTTTTATTAGCCACTTTACCATAAACAGATGTTCATTTTAGATCTAATATTTATTTGTGAAGTTGATAACAAGTAGAAATTACTCTTGGGTAGGGGTGTCTGGGTGGCTCCATCAGTTAAGCTTCTGACTTCGGCTCAGGTCATGATCTCAGAGTGCCTGAGTTCGAGCCCTGTGTAGGGCTCTGTGATGATAGATCAGAGCCTGGACCCTGCTTTGGATTGTGTCTCCCTCTCTCTCTGTCCCTCCCCCCACTCACACTCTGTCTCTCTCTTTCCAAAGTAAATAAACATTAAAAAAAAAAACTAAAAAATAGAAATTATTCTTGGGTAAAATACATCATCATTTTATAAATTTTTAGTTAAGTTTGAGTTTATCACATCTTGATGTCCACACTGATGCGGGAAGAAGCATTTGAAACATCAGATAGTTGCCAGTTATAAGCAACTAAAATGTGAATATTTAGTAAAGTTAAATTAGATGCTTGTGCTGAGAACTTATTGTTCAAGGTGTTCATAGTTAATCTCCTTAGAAAGTATTATTTAGGCTGCTAAAGATTTAAATAAAGAAGATATGTAATTAGTAACATGTCCTGGAGCAAAGGAAGACTATTGAGACTAGAAATCTGTCATTAGGGAACTCTGTTTATTGAAAGGCTTATTAGGAACCTTAATTTTAGAACCGAAGAATTTTTTAAAAAGACCAAGATTAACTATTAAAACAGAGCACAGTATGTAAAAATATAAACAGTCCCTCTTATTTTACCTGAAATGAAGAATAATTTTCTCTATATATAACTTAGTTTAGATTTCATGTAGCTAATTACTGACTACAGAAAAAATAGTAAAAATGAAGTTCTCAATAAATTTTGGAAAACAATCATCAGTTGTTTATTGAATCTAGGGAATTATCTGGTAGTCACGAATGCATATTCCTTTTGACCAGAAATCCACTTTTCCTACAGAAATAAAAGGAGCAGTTACTAAACATCTCGCAATATCGTCTGTGATAATAAAAACAGGAAATGCTCCTAGCACCCATCTCTAGGGTGATTGTTAGATAAAATATATTATGTCTATGTTATAAAACACTTAGAGGTATTTCAAAATAATGACACAGATCTATATGTACTAAAATGGAAATGAGACTGTGAGGATTTAACTGGAAAAAAACACAAATAATAGAAATGGTATATTCAATATTTATAATAAAAACAAGTTGTGTGTGTACATATATGTGTGGTGTGATTATAGATCTCTAACTCAAGTGTCCAAAAATGTAACTTTTAAAATCTTCTCTGTAATCCAATTTAATCTTTAAATTGTCAGTTGGTGGAAATTTAATCTCAATGAATTTAGGAGTTTATCAGTCAATTTAGCCTAACCTTGGTCTCCCCAGAGGTTCCATGTAATCCTGGGATCTTCCATAGTGCTAAGGCATTGGTGAAGAGTGAACATATAATCCTTGTTCCTTAGAATCTATTCATGATGGTATCTGCTAAGATTTATTCATCATTTATTTATTTGATCATCTGTTGTCACCCCACACAGTTGGAATTTATGGTTCCCTTGACTGTGAGAGCAATGCTCTTATGAATAAACAACTTTTCAGTAAGAAAATTTGGAGATGCTTAGGTAGCAAAGTTAATTGTGGAGGATGTGTCCAGGTAATCACTCTTCTCCCAGAATTAAGGAACAAAAGCAGAGTAGTGGTGAGATACAAAATTACTCTTTTGGGGGCACTTGGGTGGCTCAGTTGGTTAAGCGTCAGACTTTGGCTCAGGTCATGATCTCATGTTTCCTGAATTCTAGCCCTGCATTGGGTTCTGTGCTGATGGCTCAAAGCCTGGAGCCTGCTTAGGATGCCTTGTCTCCCTCTCTGTCTGCCCCTCCCCCGCTCACACTCTGCCTCTCTCTCTCTCAAAAATCAACATTAAAAAATTTTTTAATTACACTTTTCTTCACTAATTAACATCAACCAAAACTAGTTCAAGCCAACATGGGTTCAGGTTAGAAATACAGTCAATTACAACTAAATTTACTACTGATAAACTCTTTGTAATGAATATACTTTTTAACATAAGGCAGTATTTTATTTTATTTTTGTTTTCATTTGATAGTTCAATAGAAAATGTGAAAGGAATTCTTTCAAAGCATTTGCCAAATTTAAGTGGGAGCTGGAAATTCCAACAGAAAGTAACTGATAATGGGCTAAGAAGCTGAGCACAAATTTTGGCTTTCACAGATTATGGGCTGCCGAGACAAAAATTAAAGAACATTCCAACCAGAATAAATAATAGAAAAACTGGGTAGTCCAGTATCTACTAAAATATAAATATATAACTAAATATTTCTAATCATCAAATCCAAGATGTTTTCTCTGCCAAATTATACACATACACATATTTCTTTCCCCCTTGGCTTTATGAGGTCAGCAAATTCTTGATTCCAAAATCTGACAAGGATATCAAGAGAATGAGAATCAGCAGACAACCTCTATCATAATCATAGATGAAAAATCCTAACCAATATATTAGCAAACTGCATCAAGCTATATGTGAAAAGAATAATTTAAGTGTCATGACCAAGTGAAGTTTAATTCCAAGAGAAGGTAAGAGTTACAAAACTTTAACTCAAAACATAAAGAGAAAATGAAAAAAAGATTATCTCAAGAGGTACAGACAACTAATGTGATATAATTTAACATTCACTGGTGATAAAATCTGTTAGCAAACTAGATTAAAATAAAGTTAGGGTGCTTTTTTTAAAATAAATGGGAGGTGTATGTATATCAGGAGCCAGAAACCTTGGGACCCTTATAGAATTCTGCTTCCTACATGTAACTATCAAAAATTGTCAGCATTCAATATATTCAATGGTAGGGGTTTTTCCCTAAGAATGGAAACAAAATGTCCATTCTTACAACTTGTCTTTAAAACTAACTCTTATCCAATGCAATAATGCAAGACTAAGAAATGGAGAACACAAAGATTAAAGAGGAAAAAATGAAAATGTCATTTTTCCAGACTCAAGATACTATACATAAAAATTTCAAAATAATCTGCCCAAAACAATTGGTATCAATAATTGAATTTATGAGGTGTGCTGAATGAATTCAAATGAAGCTCAATATATCATTAAAATAATTTAAAATTGGGGCACCTGGGTAGCTCAGTTGGCTGAGTGTCTGACTTTGGCTCAGGTCATGATCTCATAGCTCATGAGTCTGAGCCCCATGACAGGCTGGGGTCTGTGCTGACAGCTCAGAGCCTGGAGCCTGCTTCAAGTTCTGTGTCTCCCCCTCTCTCTGCCCCTCCCCCACTCATGCTCTGTCTCTATATCTCAAAAATAAATAAACTTTAAAAAAATAATAATAATTCAAAATGAAATTAATAAATGAGACCATTCACCATACCCTCAAGAAACTTCAATACCTAGAAATAAACCTAATGAACATTGTTCAAACATTCCACTTGGAAAACTACAAAATACAGAAAATGAATGAAGCATAAATGCTTTCACTATACATGTTCATGAATTGGAATACTGAATGTTTGTAAGTGTCAATTCTCCCAAAATTTCTCTATAGATTGAAGGCATTCTCAAAATCACAGAATTTTGTTTTGTTTTGTTTTGGAATATGGCAAGTACATTCTAAAGTTCATATGGGGCACCTGGGTGGCTCAGTCGGTTAAGCGTCCGACTTCAGCTCAGGTCACAATTTCATGGCTTGTGAGTTCCAGCTCTGCATCAGGCTCTGTGCTGACAACTCAGAGCCTGGAGCCTCTTCAGATTCTGTGTCTTTCTCTCTCTCTCTCTCTGCCCCTCCCCTGCTCACACTCTGTCTCTCTCTGTCTCTCAAAAATAAATAAATACAAAAAAATTAAAGTTCATATGGAAATCTAAATATTTTGAAATCCAAGAAGCTATAGCATCAACAATGAAGCTGATGGAAAATTGGCACTTGAGAAAAAAGAATATGTAAAATATCCTCGAGACATGAAAAAGTTACTCAAACTTGTGAGCCATCAGGAAAATCCAATTTAAATCCCAATGGTAAACATGCCAACAGAAATTAATAAAATTCAGAAACCTAACAAATAACAAATTGTGGATATGGTGGTAATATTTATGCCAAACCTGGTAGGATTCTATATGTATCCAATCATTATGAAAAACTATTTAGCAATGTCAACCTTAAATAAAACAAATGGTAATTTGCTAATTAAGCAAAGATGAGTTTATTCAAGAATAGCAGAGGAATTGCAATTCAGGACAAGCAAACTATGGCAAACCACAGGCAAGTCCAAAGAGAAAAAGAGGACGCTAGAATTTATTAGGTTCTAGGAGGAATACAGAGGGTTATTTTGAACATTTCATTGGAAGAGAATGAGAGTTTGAGTTTATGGCAGTTTCTCACTGGCTGTCAGTGGTGGGCAGTTTGCTGTTACTGAGGCATGTAGAAATCTTCCTTCTTCCTACTGGTCATGTGAGTTGAAACAAATGGTACCTGCATAAGACCTCTCCCTTCATGGCTTCTTGACTCTATTTTAAATCAAGTTTCCTTTACTCCTTTTCACAGCAGTATCTTATAAATTAGATGATTATGTACCTTCCAGAACCAGCACTTCTACTCCCTGGCACATTTCAATCACAAATGAATAAAAATATGACAAAATGATATATATGTATATTTATTGAAGCATTATTTGTTATCACCCCAAAACGGATATGAACAACTCTCCTGCAATAGTAGAGCACATATATTTTGGGATGAGGACACAATGCAGTATTATATAATAACATAAAGGCAAAAAAAGAAAACAAAACATGTTACATGCAGTAATGTGATTAAATAACACACACATAATATTGCCAGAAAGAAGCCAGACAAAAAAGTAAAAATTGTAAAATTTCAATTATAGAAGTTTTAAAACTGGTAAAAGCTAACCCACGATGCTAGAAATTAGGATAGTGATTATCTCTGGAGATGAGTGTGGATAACTGGAAATGCCCTGAGTTTTGCCACTGATGTCCTCGGGTTCTTGATCACTGTGTTGATTACATATATGGACATGTTTACTTTGGAAAAATAAACTCCCCACGTATGACTTCCATAACTTTTAATGCATTTTATTCTTCAATTAAAATCCTAAAAACTCAGGCTATTATTAGACAGATATCATTAGAACACTCTATTTTTGAAGGAAAAGAAAAGTTCAGGCATAATATATCAACATTATTCTGCTACATCATATTATTTTTAAAAAACAGGCATCTGCCATTGAACACCTCCTATACTTGTATGACACCCAACCATACATCTTCCCTGGCACCCCATGTAGGAAGAACAGTATTCCAGCTGTTCTTTGCCTGTCTGAAATCTATTCCTGAATAATTCCAGCTGGCTTAAATGCAAATCTAATTTTACAGAGGTGATTCTTAGAAGCAATATCAAAGTCTTAAAATAGCAGCTAGTAATGAGACCCAACAAATAGAGGCAAACTTTACATATCATCCACACTCAAATTAGTGCACAATCTGGTCACATATGACAACAAATTGTTTCCAAGACATTACAGTGCTGTACCCAGATGCTTATAATCAAATCTGCATGGTGATCAAAGTCAAAAGTCCTACACCTGTATTACATTCTGTTTGATATATTCAAAATGACTCTCTCATAGTAATAAATTAAGGGCAGCAAAAATGTTTGCAGAGATGGTGGCAATATACTCTGGAAGGAAGAACGTGGATATCAAAATTTCATAGCAATTTGCCAGGGAGTGTATCCTTAGATGATTCCACTTCATACCATGCTCCACCCACATTTGTCCAGTATTTCTATTTCTGCTGATATTGTTTATAATCCCTCCCTTTATATGTGCAGTTATTTCACTGGTTTCAAGTTAATAGATGTTATTCTATCTTAAGGCCAATTTTATGTGCATACCAGTAAATTATAAGGCCACAGAGTTAGTAACAGTTGACTATAAATACGCTGATTTAATATTTTTCATCTTTAATAGTATACTATAGGACAAAGCAGGTAGCATACATAAGTAGATGATTAAATAATTAAATAAGCAGTAATGCACTAATGCAGTTGATATAAGCACTAATTCCTTCTTATCTTTTTTACTTTCCCCCGTCCTTCCCAAATGGGTGAATGGCAGCCTATCCTTTTCTGAGTTCTACCACAAAAAATAAAAAATAAGTCGTTTATTTATTTATTTATTTATTTATTTATTTATTATTTGAGAGAGAGAGAGAGAGAGAGAGACAGAGTGCACAAGCAGGGGAGAGGGCAGAGGGTGAGAAAAAATCTTAAGCAGGCACCATGCTCGGTGCAGAGTCAGAGGCAAGACTTTATTTCACAACTAGGAGATCATGACCTGAGCCAAAATCAAGAGTCGGATGCCTAACTGACCAACCGAGTCACCCAGGTGCCTCAGCTATTGCAAAATTGTTGATCCGACATCATCCCTCCATGTTTGGTGATTTTGTCATCTTGGTGTAGTATTTCTCCAAACATATCTTTGATCCAGTATTTTCAGCATAAGGAAAATGATTCATTCCTTTCCTAGTTGAAGATTTTCTTTGACTCACTTTCCTTTGGCTATTCCCTGGTGTTCCATTCTACAAAGCAATGTTGTGGTAAACCAGAAGCCACAAAAAACTGCCCTCCAGATACATATTTTTAAATATGTTTTAAAATTATATCTTTTACTTGATATTTACAAACACCTACTTCTGCAATCTCCTACAAAGATGAAAAGCTCAGCTAAGAACAGACTCAATCCCACATGGTAACTGCTGGACATGGACAGTGCAGAAAGCTATCTTTTTCAGTAGGGCACATACCCCTAGTTAGCAGCAGCATCCATTTACATGATGATTGCATAAGCATTTATTCTTGCCACACCTCATTTATTTATATTACCTCGTGGCCACAATGGGCATTTGAACTGATAACCCCCATTAAAATTCCTAACAGGTTACCTAATAGCTCTTGTAATTTGCCTTGAAATGTAGAAATTTCTCTTGCCTCTGAAATGAACTCCTCACCAGGATAAATAACCATTATTTGTCAGTTAGCTATTAAAATCTGCTTCCAGTTTATTCTCCTTGTGGGGCTGAAGATGTGTCATCTCTCCCAGGTTTATTTTCCATGATTCTCCTATTTGAGAGTAATTTAATAGAAACTAAGCAGTTGATTACCTTTTTTAAAAAGCCTCTTTTCCTTCACTGAAACCTGTTACTGAGAATATAAACTACAAAATATTTTAGAAAGTTATCTTTTTTCATTTCGAGCCTAAAGTCATATATATTAGTTTTGTTTTGTTTTTATTTTTTAGTGTTTATTTGAGAGAGTGAGAAACAGAGCGTGAGCAGGGCAGGTGCAGAAAGAGAGAGAGGGAGAGAGAGAGGGAGAGAGAGAGAGAATCTGAAGCCGACTCCAGGCTCTGGGCTGTCAGCACAGAGCCTGATGTGGGGCTAGAACTCACAGACCAGATCATGACCTGAGCTCAAGTCCAGACTCAAATGACTGAGCCACCAGGAGCCCCCCCTCCCTTTTTGTAAATTGTTTTTTTTTTTTGAATGTATATTTATTTTTTAAAGAGAGACAGGGACAGAGAATATATATATATATATTCGTTTTCAATCGTTGCATCAAAATCACCAAAGTCTATTTGCAACTTACAACAGAAGATATGTATTTTCTTACCATTTCTGCGGGTCAGTCATCTGGGCATGGCTTACCTGTGTCCTCTGCTTAGGGTCTCAACATCAAGGTGTCCCCCAACTGTGGTTTGAATGGATGAGTCCACTCCTAGGCTCGTGGACAGAGACTGTTGGCAGAATTATTTGCACGCAGTTGGCGGACTGAGGGCCCCAGCTTCTTGCTGGTTACTGACTGGAGGTCACTCTCTGCTCCTGGAGGCCACCTGCAGCTCCTCAAGGCTGCCCCCAGTTCCTGGGCACACAGTCTTTCTCAACGCGGCCACCTGCTTCACTAAGCCAGCAAAGACCCCCTGGAGCGGTCCGCCAGCAAGATGGAGGCTCCCATGACATCACACATCATGGGCGTGGCCTGCATCTCTTCGGTTTGTCCTCTTGCGGAGAAGAGAGCCTCGCAGCCTTGATGAACTGCCTCAAGTCCTTGCTGTTGCTGGATCGGGTCCTCACTGAGAACGGTAAGCTGCTCCTTCAGGGCACCGGCCGGGTCAGTCTTCTGGGCCTAAACCCACGCGGGGCCAATAGGTTCTGCTCTTCCCGGCGTCGCCCTGCTGGCGGCCACCTCGGGCCTCACCCTCAAGACTGCTCAGCAACCACCACCACCTGCCTGACCCGCGTCAGGAAGAGCTCGGCTCTGAGGTGGAGCTGAGACACCACCGAGACGAGTGGGAGGGTAGGCAGATGGTGGAGCATAGGCCTGAGACACTGAGATGCGGCCCCCTGCTGGGCCGAGGACATGCTGGTGCTTCCGCGGCACCGCCCGCAGCCCTCCTCGTGCTCCCGCCCCGCCCCTCGTCCACCTGGGTTTCCGGCCTCAGGGCCTCAGACGCCCTCGCACAGTGACGGGTCGTGGGGCCCACTGTTGCCACCGGACAGAAACCCAAAATTTGTTGTTATCTCTTAAAGGATTGAGAATTGCATACAAAAACCTTAGGTAAAGTGAAAAAAAAAAAAAAGATGAACACTTGACTGGTGTAAATGCAAACCACCAAATCAAGGCAAAGTAACAACCCATGGGAAAATTAGCGCCCAAGAAGGCAAACTGTATCCTCAGGGTGGGACTTAAGAGTAGTCAAGGAGAAGGGTTTACACAGGGAGCCAACACCAGGACCCTAGGAAGTCACTGTAGAGGCTTGTCATACAATACGGGGCTTTTCCCCTGCTTTACTGAGGGTATACTCAACAAATAAAAATTGTATATGTTTAAGGTGTACAATGTGATGTTTTCATATTCGTATCCATTGTGAACTGATTACCACAATCAACCTAATTACATGTCTGTCACTTCACAAAGTTCAGTGTGTGTGTGTGTGTGTGTGTGTGTGTGTGTAGTGAGAGCACTTAACATAAACTCTCGATAAATGTCAAGTATACAATACAGTATTATATTATTAACTGTAGTCAATATGCTTTTCGATATCTTCCTTTTGAGCATTAAAATTCATTGCTACTGCATTAGTTGCATTGGCTTCCCACAATGTTGAAGAAACAAAATTAATGAGCTTTAAAACATCTATTTGATGTAAACTGTGACACTTCTTAACCCCCTCTTTTTAAAATGAAAACCAGAGATCTCTTTTCAGGGTATGATTTTCTAGATAAATTATTTTCCACATATAATATGCCAATTTATTTGTGTCAATAGTACAAAAAGAATCACTGAAAATAACTGATTTAGACACCATTACAGAAGAAGCAAAATGCCTACTAGTCTTTCACACAGGTGACTAAATGTAAATGTGTAATTTGTAATTAATAGAGTCAGGAGAGTCAAATATGGAGAAACTGAAGCTTTAAGATAGATTCACTGAAAAATAAAGAATTGGAGAATGTACAACCAGTGTGGATTTATGCATAAATTCAGAAATCTTCAAAGCAGGAATTTTTGGCAGTAGGTTTTTATCATTGAATTTTATAAATAACTAATATCTATAACAATAAGGAAAATATAAAAACCAGAAGTGTAAACACTTTCAAGTGCATAAAACAGTCTTTTAGATTCTAAAAGAAAATCATTCAGTGTGTGTGTGAATTTGAGGGGTAAGGCGGGTGTGGGGGGAGTTGCCAATCCATCTATCAGAGCTGCCATTCAGCTCAACATCACTTTTAATTTAGTGACTAATTTATTCTAATTTGTTTTTTCCCTCTTCCTGTTCAAGTTAATAAAAAATGGTGTAGTGGATAATAATGTAATTATGTGACTTCTCAATTCAAACTTAACAACTCTGAACCTTCACTTTAAAATATATTATATGATGGTTTGATAATTAAGGAGATAGTATACCTATTAAACTGTTTAACAATACCTGAAAAATACAAAATGCCAGATACATGCTGGCTATTTTTATTGGGGAAAAATGCACACATATCTGTATGCATATGGAAGTGTGTGTATTATACATATAGGTATAGGTTTACACAAACATACATATGCTATCATGTAAATATGCAAATGTATATTATGCAAACATACTAATTTTCTTCCACATAAAAATTAATGAAAAAACATAGGGTGATATACAGTTATACTCCAGCATTTCATAGTAACTAAACACAAAATGTTGAATTGAATTAAGCATGTAAGCGACAGCGGGACTTGAATGGTTCTAAAAGTCAGAGTAGTAGAGAAAAATATCACTAGGGGGAAACCACACCATAGACTGCTTAATCCACTTTGACTATTAGTTAAAGAATTTTTAAATTGTCAAAGATGAATAATTGTCAAATGCTTACTGCATTTTATGTTGTTTAGACAGCACGACAGCCCCCCTAGCCAAATTTGTAATTTACTGTAGCTTGGTATTCTTCAATTTTTGAGACTATTTTATTTTAAACTTTCCAAATAACAGCAGTGTTATTTGTTCTAATGCAATTCTGCAAATTGTGTCTGTGTACTGTCAATTACATTAAAAGCATATGCAGCAACACATTATAATCTGAAGAATAACACATTCTTCTATTTCACTTTACAGTATATTTTATTTGCAAATTTGCGGTATTTTAAATTTATCATTTATATAAATATAAACTCTAATAATATCTTATAAATGTACTGTTAATGTGAACTGTCTCACCAGAATGAGGCTAATTACTCCGTCATAAAATGCCATATGTCACCAAATGCCGGCATGGATACAGAGAAATTATTTCTCATCAATTGGTAGTGAGAATGTAAAAAGATACAACCACTCTGAAAAAAAAATTTTTTTCAGTTTCTTAGGAAAGAACAACAATTAAAACTAAAAATACCCTTACCATGTGACTCAGCAATCTCACTACTAGCCATTTATCCCAGAGAAAAGGGAATTTATGTTGATACAAAAACAGGCATGTGATATTTTATTTGTGGTAGCCTCAAACTGAAAACACCCCAAATGTTCTTCAACAGGTTAATGGCTAAACAGACTGTGATGGGTCCATTTCATGGAACACTGCTTAAAAATGGACAGTAACAAACTATTTGTACACGCAACAATTTGATTAATCTCAAGGGAATTATGCTGAAAGAAAAAAGCCTATCTCAAAAGAATATATACAGCATGATGATGTTTATCTACATTCTTTAAACGGCAAAACTATAGGAATGGTGTTGGAAGAAGCTGCAGGGAAAAAAGGTTTAACTATAACGGGGTAGCAAGAGGCAATTGATGGTGATGGAACAGTTAGGTATCATTTGTGGCAGTGGTTATGTGGCTCTGCATGTGATTACATTGCATAAAACCACACACACACACACACACACACACACACAAGTGCCAATAAAACTGGTAAAATCTGAATAAGTTCTACGGATTGTACCAATGTCATTATCCTGGTTTTGATATTGACTATGTGAAAGATACAGTCTGACATTAGTTAAAATGGTAAGGACAGGTTTTAATTAGTATGTACTATCACAATAGGCAAAAGAGTACAACATGAACTGACCTGGACTTCAGTTTCTTCAGAGGTGACTAGGTGTTTAAAAGGAAGAATGAGAGATTAGTGAAGGAGATAAGCAGGGGCTCAGTAGAGTTAGGAAAGTAAAAAATTACAAAAAGCTGAGGGGGTGGTCTATCTGAAACTCATCTGGGTTTGCTGAGCGGGCACTTATTAAATAAAGTTAGGGTCTTCCTCCCACCCCCACTAAAGAGACTAGGAGACTAGAAGACAAAGGCTCATCTTCAAGTATTGGCTGGAAGAAATAGTGTCTTTTGGCAGCCTTGAGTTTTCCTAGGAAGGCCTTTGAAAGGAGGCTAACATCCTCCTAGGGATGGGGCCTTTACCTGTTAGAAACTATGCTAGTATTTGTTCAAGTCTGGACTTGAACAAGGTGGAGGCCTACTCCAAAAGACGTCTCAGAGGAGCCTGGCAAGAGTTGGGTCTAGGAGAATCTTCGTCAACTTCAGTTATATAAGGGAAAACTGAGTTAATGGTACACAGGACCTGTCTGTATTGTCTTTGCAACTTCCTGTGAATCCATAATTATTTCAAGATCAGAAGTTAAAAATATGTAATGTTTTGTATTGTCATAATTTAATGTTGTTAATTTTTAATCTGTTTAGAATTTACCCTAATCATTAGCAGTATATGGGTAGAGAATTTCCTAATCAACCAATATTCATTTGGGGATACATAAAAAGTCTTTTTCTCATCAATATATTCTCAACACTAGGCAGATGCTTCCACATTTTAGATGCTTGGTTAAATTTGTATAATAAATGAATATATGGATGGTCAGCTTGTAGGTATTTACTAGAACTGTCTCATTCTCTTTAATCTGACTGTATATTCACCAAAATTATATAACAGATTTATTTGGTAAGAAGCAGAGAGGCTGTCTTGTACCCTATGAGACTACATTTTTTTACATCATAGTCCAGGAAGATAATGCTTCCCACCCTGGATTTGCTATTTTTCAAACATATACGTTGATTCACTTATTTTTTCAGGGTAAATCAATATGGGTATTCAATGGTCACCTTTAATTGTAATATAGCAAATTCATTTTCCAGATTGGGTTCCTACATTAATGGAATCAGCATAACAGCCAGAAAGTTAAAAGTCACATTTTAAGCTAATGGTAATCCTTTGAAGACAAGCAAAAAGTTCCATATTTTCCATACCTTATTTCTGAAAAGTGAATGTACGTTATTTTTATTAACAAGTTATTTACACTGAATAAACTTATTTTAAGAAATTAACATGAGGGGTGCCTGGGTGGTTTAGTCAGTTAAGTGTTCAAGGTCGGCTCAGGTCATGACCTCACAGTTCCTGAGTTTGAGCCCCACATCAGGCTCTGTGCTGACAGCTCAGAGCCTGGAGCCTGCTTTGGATTCTGTGTCTCCCTCTTTCGCTGCCTCTCCCCACTCATGCTCTGTCTCTCTCAAAACTAAACACTAAAAATGTTTTTTTAATAAAATTTAAGAAAAATATATTAATGTGAAAACTGAAGCAATGTTGCCTAAAAAATAAGTGTTCAATAATCAATATCTTGATATCTAAACACAATAAGTTTTAAAAAAGTGATTCTTCCCCAAAATGCAGTTTGACTTCCTTTAAGCTCTAGAAATGCAATTCAGTAAATGAAAGGAATTTAAGAAATTTTGAAACTTAAGAAAAATTTTAAAAAATATATGTTTTTCTATTTGAGTCTTATGATTACTACTGAATGATGAGCTCAGGCCTAATTTTTATCATATCCTATCATGCAGTTTTGTAAAAGTTTTTAAATTATTCTGTAGTATCTCCTTCAATTCTAAATAATAATCAGTAAAAGCATTTAAGCAAAATAGTTTGAAACTGATAACCAGTGTGTGGACATATTGGTAATTAATAAATATACATTTCCTTCTGAATATCAGAGAATCACATGATTTATTACATCTGAAATGAAATAATGATTGGTGGAAATCACACTTTCTTTCCAATGTCAACTAATACAGCATTGGAGTATCAGAGATTGAACAAATATATTCGAAAAAAAATAGTACATTTAAGCTATTTATATGTGACAAGACTTCTTTTCCTTCTAACAGCAGTGGTTCTCAACCAAGGCTGATTTTGCCTCCAGGGAGCATTTGACAATATCTGGGTCCATTTATGCTTGCTATATTTTGGTTTTCACTGCTACTGAAATATGGTACAAGAGGCCAGGGATTCTGGCAAACATCCTACCATGTCCAGGACAGTCCCTAAAACAAAGAATTATTTGACTCAAAATACCAAGTGTCA